CTTCAAGGAGCACCAGCCCCAGGCTCCACCCCACAGGGATGTTGCAGCTGGAAAAGGTGATGCTGACACCCCTTGCAGCCCTCCTGCCACGCAGGTTTCCACCTTCCTTCTTCTCCTCTCCTGGTCACATCTCTCCACTCTGCCAGCAAGTAGACTATAGGAAACCATGTCCTAGACATCAGAGGTTCATGGTAAACTTCCCCCATTGCTCTCCTCTTGAACCCAGCCCAGTATTCCCACCACACAGGTAGGTTGGACAGGCATGACTTGCTCTTGGTAAATCCTGCCCGGCTTTCCCCATCCACCAATATGTCCTCCCTGGGCCTGGAGCACTGCATGGCCAGGAGGACGTGCTCCACAGTCTTATTCAGATCCGGGCTGTTCTCTGACTGGGAGAACAAAGGTCAGCCCTGGGACAGGCTGTGGCCAAAGGCAGGTGATGGAGAGGAGAAAGGGTAGGACAGGAGCCAGCAGCAGCCAGTGACAGAGGAAAGGGGCAGCCAGTAAAACCAAAGCATTCCTTGAAGGGGGCCATCTGGTGACACCAATGGCGCCACATACCCGCTTTCACAAGGTGCAAGAGACACCTCTCTAACCGCCCTCAGCAAAAGGCAGCAGAGGTAAGCAGGGCTCATTACTGGTGTCCCCTCCCTGGGTCCAGGGCTGAAGGGCAGGGGCTGGGGATGTAAGCATGAGCATGAGTATAGAACACGGAAATACAGTCTCTTTTCTGTAAGCCTTGTTGTGAAATGCAGACCTGTCCCAGTCTGTCCTCCACATTAGAAAAAATCAGGGCAGTCATTTGAAGGTCCTAACAACAAAAAAATGAGGAAGAGTACAACTAAAAGCAAGGGGCTTCCTCCTAAAATCTGTTGTCCCCACCCAGAACCGCTCTGCTGTCCTGCAGGGGGCTCAAGAGGAAATGCACTCGCACCATGAACAACCGGCTGGTGCACTGGTAAAAAAGATCCCTACTTGTGCTGCCAGGAAAGAGAGGCGGGTCATAGTAGTAGGGACTACTTTGAAAGGGACAGAAGCACTGATCTGTCGGCCTGACCCAGTCTCAAGGAAGATGTGTTGCCTACCTGGGGCACGGATCAGGGATGTTGCTGAGAGGCTGCCTGCCCTAGTAAGTCCCACTATTACCCACTTCTAGTGATCCATGTGGGTGATAGGGATAGAGATAGCAGGAGCATGGAAAGAAGGACTACAGAGCCCTGGGAGAGGTGGTTGGGGGCTCTGGAGCTCAGACAGTCTTTTCATCATTTCTTCAGGATAAAGGGGAGGACCTAAAAAAAGCTAGAAGGATTAGCCAGGTTAATAAATGGTTAAAAGGGTGGTGTCAGGGGTTTGGGTGTCTTGAACAAGGGACCCAAGTTTGTAGGCCAGGTCTACTGGGGGCTGGTGGAGCTGCTCTGGTAAGAGAAGGGGAAGAGCAGTTTTGGTAGGAAGCTTGCCAGACTGGTCAAAGATGCTTTAAACTAGATGTGTTGGGAGAGGGGGGCATCATTCCATCCCAACACACCCAGTCAGTTGCCAGAACCTATAATAAAAGCTCAGAGCAATGTAGATATATTCCAGCTGCTCCAGCCAATGAGCCAGCTTCATTTGGAGCTCGGCTCAGATGCCTCTATACAAACGCCCATAGCATGGGGAACAAACAAGAGGAATTAGAGATGTGTGCACATCTATGGGGATATAACAGGCATCACAGAAACATGGTGGGATGGCTCCTACAACTGGAGTGTTGGAATGGAAGGCTACAGGCTCTGTAGAAAAGACAGGCCCGGCAGGCGGGGAGGGGAAGTTGCCATTTATGTTAGGGATAAGCTGGAGAGTATGGAACTTTGGCTGGGGAGAGGGAGCAGTTAACAGAGAGTCTGTGGGTCAGGGTTAAAGGGAGAACAGCTACAGGGGACATTACTGTGGGGATCTGTTACAGACCACCTGATCAAGAGGACTGTGTGGATGAAGCACTCTATAGACAGATAGGAAAAGCCTCACACTCACAGGCCCTTGTTCTCATGGGGGACTTCAACCACCAATATCTGTTGGAGGGACGGTACAGCCTGGCACAAGCAATCCAGAAGGTTCCTCGATTGTGTGGAAGACAACTTCCTTCTGCAAGTAACAGAGGAGCTGGCAAGGAGAGGTGCCATGCTTGACCTCGTGCTCACCAACAGGGAACGGCTGGTTGGAAATGTGACTCTCCAGGGCAGCCTTGGATGCAGCGACCACGAGATGGTCGAGTTCAAGATCCTCAGGACGGTGAGAAGAGCGTGCAGCAAGCTCACTGCCATGGAATTCAAGAGAGCAGACTTTGGCCTCTTCAGGAACCTGCTTAGTAAGGTTCCATGGGATATAGCCCTATAAGGCAGGGGGGCCCAAGACTGTTGGTTCATATTCAAGGATCACCTGCTACAGTCTCAGGAGTGTTGCATCCCAACTACAAGGAAGTGCAGCAGGAGGGCCAGGAGACCTCCTTGGATGGATAAGGAGCTCCTGAGGAAAATTCAAATGAAAAAATAGGCTTATAAAACGTGGAGGCAAGAACAGGTGGCATGGGAAGAACACAGGGATGTTGTCCGAGAAGCTAGGGACCAGGTTAGGAAAGCTAAGGCCCAGTTAGAATTAAACTTGTCTAGGGATGTTAAGGATAAAAGGAAGGGATTCTACAGGTACACAGTGAATAAAAGATAGACTAGGGACAATGTAGGCCCCCTCCAGAAGCTCTCGGAAGAACTGGCTACCCTGGATTTGAAGAAGGCTGAGGTTCTGAATGACTTCTTTACCTTGGTCTTCACTGGCAAAGGCTCGGACCACACCACCCAAGTCTTGGAAGGCAGACACAGGGACTGTGAGAATGAAGACCTCAGGCCCAGTGTAGGAGAGGATCTGGTTCGAGACCACCTTAAAAACCTGAACGTGCACAAGTCCATGGGACCTGATGAGATCCATCCGTGGGTCCTGAAAGAGCTGGCAAATGAAGTTGCTAAGCCAGTGGCCATCATATTTCAAAAATCATGGCAGTAAGGTGAAGTTCCCGATGACTGGAAAAAGGGAAATATAACCCCCATTTTCGAGAAGGGAAAAAGGGATGACCCGGGGAACTACAGACCAGTCAGTCTCACCTCTGTGCCTGGCAAAATCCTGGAGCAGATTCTCCTGGAAGGCATGCTAAGGCACATGAAAAACAACAAGGTGCTTGGTGACAGCCAGCATGGCTTCACTAAGGGGAAATCCTGCCGGACCAACTTGGTGGCCTTCTATGATGGGGCTACAGAACTGATGGACAGGGGTAGAGCAGTTGATGTCATCTACCTGGACTTGTACAAAGTGTTCGACACTGTCCCACACGACATCCTTGTCTCTAAACTGGAGAGACATCAATTTGATGGATGGACCACTCGGTGAATAAAGAACTGGCTGGATGGCCGCACACAAAGAGTTGTGGTCAATGGCTCAATGTCCGGCTGGAGACCAGTAACGAGTGGTGTCCCTGGGGGATCAGTGTTGGGACAGGTCCTGTTCAACATCTTTGTCGCTGACATGGACAGTGGGATTGAGTGCGCCCTCAGCAAGTTTGCCGATGACACCAAGCTGTGTGGTTCGGTTGATACGCTGGAGGGAAGGAATGCCATCCAGAGGGACCTCGACACGCTTGTGAGGTGGGCTGATGCCAACCTCATGAAGTTTAACCATGCCAAGTGCAAAGTCCTACACCTGGGTCAGAGCAATCCCAGGCACAGCTACAGGTTGGGCAGAGAAGAGATTCAGAGCAGCCCTATGAAGAACGACTTGGGGGTGTTGGTGGATGAGAAAATGAACATGAGCCAGCTTCAGTGTGCGCTTGCAGCCCAGAAAGCCAACTGTATCCTAGGCCGCATCAAAAGAAGCGTGACCAGCAGGTCAAAGGTGATCCTGCCCCTCTGCTCTGCTCTTGTGAGGCCTCCCCTGGAGTATTGTGTGCGGTTCTGCTGTCCTCAACATAAAAAGGACATGGAACTGTTGGAACAAGTCCAGAGAAGGGCCATGAGGATGATCAGGGGACTGGAGCAACTCCCATATGAAGACAGGCTGAGAAAGTTGGGGCTGCTCAGCCTGGAGAAGAGAAGCTGTGTGGAGACCTCATAGCAGCCTTCGAGTATCTGAAGGGGGCCTATAGGGATGCTGGGGAGGGACTCCTCATTAGAGACTGTAGTGATAGGACAAGGGGTAATGGGTTAAAAGTGAAACAGGAGAAGGTCAGGTTAGGCACAAGGAAGTTCTTTACTGTAGTAAGGGTGGTGAGGCACTGGAATGGTTTGCCCCAGGAAGTTGTGAATGCTCCATCCCTGGCAGTGTTCAAGGCCAGGTTGGACAGAGCCTTGGGCAACAAGGTCTAGGGTGAAGTGACCCTGCCCATGGCAGACGGTTGCAACTGGATGATCTTAAGGTGCTTTCCAACCCAAACCATTCTATGATTCTATGAATCCGTATACCTTTAAAATAGCTTTGCAGTGCAATAGCTTTGGAGACAACAGTACACAGGGATGTGGCTGTGCAGGAGTTAAAAGGTGTCTCTGCTGTGCACCCTGAGCTCCAGTCACTCAGATGTATGGTGGAGATGGTGTTCCAGAGTTACCACTTGGCAGGGAGAGGAGGGACGGTCTTGAACGTGCTTCTCACATCTGGCAGCTTCTCACAGATCCATGGCCATTTTCTTGAGCAGTAGAATCTTTCCATCTTACCATAGGATATTCCTGGACAGGTCCAACTTCTGTTGCAAGAAGGGAGGGCACACGTGAGAGGTGCCATCACCATGCTCTCAGCCTGCTGCCACCATGCTGTACCCCACACAGCTGCAGCCTCAGGGTCCCTTAGCCTGGCCAGGAGGATCCGGCCACTGCCCTCGTTCAAGCATCAGTCACATGTCAAGGACAGACGCCAGGGCAGTGCCCACCGCATTTCCCCGTGGCTGGTGAAGCTGCGAGAGATGCAGGTGGCCGAGATGGAACAACTTACTCTTTATATTGCCATCTATACGTGTCCTCACGTGAATCGAGATGACTTTTGTATCTCTCCCCGACCCAGTACACGGCACCATTCCCCTGCTCAAAGAGTTGGGGGGAGAGAAGCTGTTGACCGCCTGCCCTTGCCCAGAGCCCACTGGGTGCCCGAGAGTCCCAGGTCTGGTGGTGGCCCCCAGCACCTCCGCAGCGCTGCTGCTGCTGGATCTGCCCGCCCCAGCATTGCCCCCAGCCCTGGGGTGCTGCAGCCCCTCTGCTCTGTACCGGCGTTGTCCACGCTGGCCAGTCGCCTTGGACCAGCAGCTGAGCAGACATCCTTTGGCAGTACTGACGGCTGTCCCTCCACGTCTTGCTCTCCACGGAGATGAAGAGGCACTTGCCCCTGTAGAGCACCCAGCCCGAGGGGCAGCACTCTGGGGACAGGGGCACGGCTCAGGATGCTCGGGGGGCCCGTCCTGGCCGGGATCAGCCCCTCGTCTCCCCGGCAGCATCCCTGCCCGTCCCGCAGCCCAGCACGGCCCTACCTGTGTTCAGGCAGGCGCGCAGGCTGGCCACGGTGCTCTGGCTGCTGTTGAGCTCTCCCTGCAGGCGCTGCACATCCCTGTGCAGCTCGGCCAGCTCCTGCCTGGCGCGCCCCAGCTCCGCGTCCCGCAGCTCCAGCTCCGCTCGGCTCCTGTTGCCGTCCCACCACGCACGCCCCAGCTCCGCTCTGGCCCTCACCAGCTCCAGCCGCGTCTGCTCCAGGCGCTGCTCCCGGGCGCTCAGCTCCTGCTCCAGGCGGCCCTGCTCGGCCGCGTGCTCCCGGGAGGCGTCCCGCAGGCTGCGGGTGACCTGCCAGTCTGGGCACAGGCACAGGGATGGGCACGGCGCTGGCACAGCCCGGGCACGGGCAGCAGCGACCGACCCGTGCGCCCACGGCCATGGCGAGGGACATGGGATGAGAGTGTCGGGATGTGGGCAGAGACTGTCCTGGGGTGTCAGCGGGAAGGGAAAGGGAAGGGAAGGGAAGGGAAGGGAAGGGAAGGGAAGGGAAGGGAAGGGAAGGGAAGGGAAGGGAAGGGAAGGGAAGGGAAGGGAAGGGAAGGGAAGGGAAGGGAAGGGAATGGTCTGTGGTGGTTAAGTGGAAGGGAGGCAATGGGTGCCAGTGGGAGCCAATGGGAAGGCGTTTGGAGGCAATGGGAGGTAAAAGGAAGGCAATGAGAGGCACTGAGCAGTTAAGCAATGAGAAGGCAGTGTGAATGTATTTGGAAGCAATATTAAGGAAGCTGAAAGCAGTGGGAGACATTGAAGGCAGTGGAAAGGTAGTGGAAAGGCAGTGGGAAGTAATGGTGAGGCTGTGGGAGGCAATTTGTGGCAGTGGGAGGCAATGAGAAGGCAGTGGGCGGCAACGGGAAAGGAGTGGGAAGGAATGGGAGGCAATAGGAAAGCAGTGGAAGCAGTCTGAGCCAGTGGGAAGCAGTGAGGGTGATGAGGTGCTGGGAACAGGCTGCCCAAGGAAGTTCTGAACGCTCCATCCCTGGCGGTGTACAAGGCCAGGTTGAACAGAGCCTTGGGTGACATGGTTTAGTGTGAGGTGTCCCTGCCCATAGCAGGGGGGGTGGAACTGGATGAGCTTTAAAGTCCTTTCCTGACCCAAACCATTCTATGATGCTGTGACTCTATGATAGGCAGTAAGAAGCAGTGGTAGGCACAGGAAAAGCAATGCAGGCAGACAAGGGAGCTCAGGCTGGCCAAGCCAAAAGCAATGCCAGCCTCAGATCATCAGTCCCCAGCACCCCTTGGACCCAACAACCCCCAGCATCCCAGACCTAGCCCAGCCTCACGGCAGGTCCCCAGGACCTGGGTAGTTCCCAGACACTCACAGCAAGTCCCCAGCGAGTGGATAGCACCCACTCCGGGTGCTACCCTTCATCTCCCCCCACCCCACAGCCCTCACCCAGACTCACAGCAGGTCCCCAGGGCCACGGTGCCCACCACCAGCAGCACCAGCAGCACCAGCAGGCTGGTGGCCAGCGGCCCCATGGGGACACGCCAGCGCCGGGGCCATCGCCCTGCAAGAGGTGACATGAGATGAGCTGAGCTGTGAGCACAGCATCACCCATGGTCCCACTGCCGCCCCCCGCTGCCCACCCTGCGCCTCAGCATCCTCGTGTCGGTGGCCGGGCTCTGACCTGGGCTCTGCTCTGCAGGCACCGTCCCCAGCAGCACGTTCTCGTAGGGGCTGTCGTCCTCATCGGGGGCTGCGGGGCAGGAGGGCACGGCCAGCGGCGGGGATGCTGCGAACTTCAGGTCGGCGTAGACCACGCTCTGGGCCATGCTTGCAGGCGCCCCAGGCAGCAGCAGAGTGAGGGCTCGCTGCTGCCTTGCCCTGGCCAACCCCCCGTGGGGTGGAGACACCTCTCGATCAGAAAAGCAGAAGCGTTTTTATTTGCAAATGTTTTTTTTTCCTGAGGCTGCTCTTGCTGTGCAGTGCGTGGGGCTGAACCAGCTCCTCCCAGGCAGCGCACTCTGCCCCCATGTCCCCACAGGCTGTGAGGAGCCCCAGGAGCCGGTGTCTGCTGGGCACTCCAGGGCCGCGCGGCCCCATGCAGCACCTTCCCATCTCCCGCTTGGAGGCACTCTGCAGTGACTGTGGAGTTCTGCCCTCAACATTTCTCAGGACAGATTCCCAGGGATGTCCATGCTGGAGCTGCATGCTGCTGGCACAACCCATGTGGTCTATATCAAAACCGTAATAGCCCCCAGGGCCAAGCCCCTCCAAACCAAGACCCTGTAGACCTTTTAGACTCTCACTCATCACCCAGCCTCAAGGCAAAGTGAGGGCATTTGCTGTGACCTCCTCAGACTGGATGTGAACCAGCGGACAAGCTCCTGCCCAGCCCTCCATGTGACCAGGGATGCTTACCGAAGCAGAATAAACCCTGGACAGCCACCACCACAACCAAAAGCCCGGAGCTTTGCAGGGATCTGCTCCAGCCTGCACAGGAGCTTTTCCAGGCTGCCCCCAGGACATGAGGGTGCTCAGATCGATGCCACTTCTTCCAGTGCTGTTTCCCACCCAGCAGCAATGCGATTGGGTCTGGGCACCAGAGGATGCACCTCCATCCCACCGCCCTCATCCCCCAAAACCAGCCACAGCATTCAAGTGCCAGGATTTATTGGCAAATTGCAGAGATCCAGCGGGGTGAAGCGTCTGAATGAGGAAGCAGCAGCACCAAAGGATGCCTGTGCATTGGGATGGGACAGGCTGGAGGTCCCCATGGTCATCAGGGGCCAATGCAGGTGTAGGTGGTGTTTCCCCAGAGGAGGGTGGGTGGCGAGGACCGGACCCACTGCAGGGTGGATGCGCGCTGCTCACAAACCCAGCCCAGGGCTTCCCCACACAGACCACCTGACAGCCCCAGCCCTGACACCCTGCCGCAGGCCAGGAAGGAGCTGGTGGAGCGATGGATTGGGAAGAGCCTGCAGGGAGAGAGAGGGCAGAGATGGGATGGACAGGAAGGACTGGGGTTCTATCATCAGCAGCTCCTCAGGACAGTGATCAGGGATACTATGGGGGCAAAGCTCACCCTCTCCAGGGAGCACTGTGCCCTGACACCCTCTGCTTAATTAAGACACATGCTCTGATCCTCCCGACCCTACCCATGCCTGTTTGACATGCAGCTCCCATCCCCATCATGCACACAGCACCCCCAGGTCCTTCCTGGCAGGACTCAGCACCAGCTGCACTAAGAAAAGCCTGAGAACCTGGTTTGAGGGAGCCATCCCAGCTCCTCACCCAGGTGGGATGTGGGCACCATCCCTTCCCAGTGCAGCCCTCAGAAGACAAGAGACAGCCAAAATGTGGAGCACATCTGTGAGAGACTGATCTGAAATCAGACTCCACTGCCCACTGTATCAAAGACGGGTCTGAGAAACTGAGCTGGAAATTCACCTATCTCCTGTCTCAGAGATGAGTGGGAGGAGTTGAGATAAGACTCCAATATCCATTGCCTGGGAGAAGGGTGTGAGAAGCTGAACTGGAACTCGACCACCCATTGCCTGAGGGATAAGTGGGAAAGAGCTAAGACTCTTCCATCCATTACTTTGAGGACTGGTGTGAGCTACTATCCCAAGGATCGCTGCAGACACATGTGTGTCAAAGAGCTGGCTGCAAGACCAGGGAAACTGGTCCACCAGGAATATGTAATATGTGACATGAACAGAGGTACTCCCCCCAACTCCTGACAAAGGGGAAAAGGTAACCACCAAGAGACACATCACCAGGAGCCACATCACCAGCGAGCCATTACCATGAGGATAGCTCCAGAAGGACACCTCCGTGAGTACACTGTCCATCGATGAGTACTATGGATCCTGAGGGGCACCCTCCATGAGACATCGCCATGAGACACACTCCATGGGGTACTTTCAAGGGGTCTCAAGAAGGATGCCTCCACAAGGACACCCAGCTCCAATGGACTCTTGGGGAACACTCTGCTCCGATACCGACTACAAACCCCGAAGAACTTCCACCACCAATGATGATGTCAACGGATCCCTGGGACACCATTGGATCCATGGTGGCGACTCTCTCTCTTCCTCTCTCTCTCTGCACCCCGAATCCTTCCTTCATTTTCCACTTTTTTCCCCAATCTGTTCTATCATTACCCCCTTTATTACAACAATTTCCCTTTTTTATAACTCTCTTTTTGAAATTTGTAATAAACAAAGTGTCCAGTTATGGTACTTGACCTCATTTGTGTCTTAATTTCAATCTTGGGATCATGACATGAAACATGGTCTGGCACTGGGTTTTTTCTCCAACTGGACCCTGACAACATCCTCACATGTAAGTGGGCTGCCTGTCTCCCCATCACCTCCTCAGCATCCCTGGCTAGGGACAAGCAGGGAGCCTCACCCCTTCAGTGCAGTGCCATCCAGCCACTTCCAGTCAGACCTGGAGCCATCCCGCTTCAGCCCCACGTGGAAGACCTCTGTGTTGGCTGTGCGCATCAGGAAAGCCTAGCACAAGAGAGGACCTGCATGAGCTACCTGGGGGGAAAACCCAGGCCCCTCCCAGTGATGGGGGTTGCAGAGTAAAGACACAGCACCTCCAGCTCTCTATCTGGAGGCTTAGCTAGGCTTTGGGCATGAGGGTCAGAGCCAGGGAGCTGAGATGGGTACGCTCACCAGGGTGGTGTTGGCTCGGATGGTGACCAGCTGTGCCCCTCTGGAGCAGCAGTCCTCTCTGCTCTGCTCCCAGCTCTTCTTGGTGAAGGAGAAGTAGTAGCACTGCCCCGCATCCCAGAGCCAGCCAGCTGGGCAGAACTGGCATCGCCCTGCACACCAGAAACACAGCTTGCAGCCCAAGGCACAGGACAGTGACAAGGGGCAGCCAGAGTATCAACCAACCCAATGTACTTCTATGGATACCCCTTGGAGAGGACCCTCTGCTTGCCCATGCTCTGGAGCCCAGCTCCCGCATCCAGTGCAACAGGCTGGTTACATGAAGGTGATAGTATCGGGCAGATGGGTTAGCGAAGGGAGCTCCAGGTTTGGGGTGGTGATATAAACATCATTTGCAAAGCACAGGGAAAGCAGTCAAGATTTCAGCTTCACCAGAGACTGGTTGAAAGACAGCCCCCAGTGCCATCCAGCACATGGAAAACATGATCTTGGTGCTGGTGGAGTGCCCGGGCAATGCAGAGCCATGCTGGGGCCATCTCTTCCAAAGGATCCCATCAGGGCAGCCTGTTAGCAGCACCATGGTATGAGCCAGGGGAGAGGCAGTAAGGGTGAAGGAAGACTGGTGGGAGGCACATTCTGGAGCAGGGACAGGTCCTGACTACTGAAAAGAACACCCAAGCCCCCTCCAAACCCTCTCCAAGCCTCACACAGGAGCCCACCAGGTTTTCCTACCTCGCTGCATCTGTCGCCCATAGCTGGGGCTCTCCTCCCCGCTCCAGGCACCACAGGTGCAGCTCGCCTGTTGTCCTAAATCTACAGAAGAAGAATAAAAGAGTGCCACTGCCAACCCTGTGCTCCTGTTCCCAGCAGCACCAAGTGGCCTCTCCCATGGGACAACCCCCTTTAGGTGACCTGCCAGCCAAGCTCGACAATCTCCTTGTGGGTTTTGCTGTGCCTGGGAGCCCATCACAGAACAGGCTTTCGGGGAAAGTGCTTCTTTCGGTTTCAGTGTCACCACTCTCCCTCCTGTCTTCATGTCACTGCCATGTGATGGAGCAGGATGTCCTGACACAGTCCCCAAGCCCACGCCGTTCCACCGCCTTCCTCTCCCAGCCAGGAAGGCACAGTCTTGCTTCACCAACTTTCCTGCTTGCCCCAGAACCTGCAACACCCTCAGCCCCAAGCAGGAGGATGCTTGGGACATGAGCTCTGTCTGTTGGTACATGGTCCCCATGGTGCCAACCCCACCACCCCGACCAGAGAGCTCCAGGCACAAGCAGGTACTCACAGTGGAAGCTCAAGCTGATGAGGATGATTTGTGCCAGCAGAAGCAGCAGGGAGAGGACAGCCAGGCTGAGGGCAGCCCAGCACCAGGGCAGCCGCACGGTCTGCTGGGGAGCTGAAAAACAGAGTTAACCTCGACTCTGGGGGCTTTGTTGGAGCGGTGGGGACACCTCCAGCCAGGAGATGTCTGTGAACCCTGGTCAGGGTCTCAGGAGGCAGTTGGGGAACCCAGGAAAACTGAGGGAGAGCCCGTTTGCAGCACCTTGATCCTATTAGTGTCTTGCTGCAGACAGTGCTTGGCATGAGGCAGGTAGAGCAGAGTGGGGTGCAGTGAGCACCCCCTGACCTTGAGTTCCTCCTGTCCCCTGCCCCATGAGCAAGCAGAGTGCAACAGTGCTGGAGAAGAGCTGTCTGCGAGAGGGTTCCCAGAAGAGGGGGTCAGGGGAATGGTCCCAGAGAAGGCAAGGGGCTGCAGAAGGGCAGGGGACCCTCCATGGTGCCAGGGACTGGGAGCAGCTCACCATTACCTGGGGTGGGAGGCAAGCGCAGATCAGCGTACGTGACCCCCTCGTCCATCCCTCCCTCAGTCTCTTGCTCTGCACCCACAGGCGAAGAAGCAACCCCTTCCCAGCCGCTTTTGGCAGCTGGCTGTGACGTGAAATGGAAAGTGTCACTTCCTGGTGGGGTCCCCAGGGGCACCACCTGGGACAGAACCCTGGGGGGGTCACAGTGATGACAGTGACCGACTGGGGGAAGGGGAAGCCCCACGAGGCTGGCACCCAGACATTCCCTGCATGAGGGAACCCTGCACCCACACTGTGGGGCAGGGAGCTGAGGGGATGGCTGCTAGCTCAGACATGGGACTGTAGAATAGAATCAGAGTCATTTGGGTTGGAAGGGACCTTCAAAGCTCACCTAGTCCAACCCCCTGCAATGAGCAGGGACATCTTCAATTAGATCAGGTTGTCCAGAACCATCCAAGCTGGCCTCGAATGCCTCCAGGGATGGGGCATCCACCACCCCTCTGGGCAACCTGTGCCAGTGTTTTACACCGTCTTTGCAAAGGATTCCTTCCTCACATCCAGCCTGAATCTGCCCTCTTCCAGTTCAAAACCATCACCCCCAGTCCTATTGCAACAGGCCATGTGAGAAAGTTTCTCCCCATCCTCCTTATAGGGCCACTTCTAAGAACTGAAAGGTCACAGCATGGTTTCGGGTTAGAAGGGGCCTTTAAAGGTCAGCTAGATTCTTGTGCTCCCCACCACAATGTTGGGACAGCCACAGCCCCCCAGTGCTCAGCCTATCTGCCCCGCGGGGCTGTGCATCCTTGGGGAGCAGGGCTCTTTCTGCATCCCACGCTCCGCACTCCGAAAGTAGCAAGGCCGCGGGGTGTTTGCTCTCACACATGGTTCCTGCTGCCTTGTTTGCAGCCCAGCCCTGGAAAGCGGGACACTGGGGTTCTCCACCCCATCCCAGAGCCTTGAGTGCTGCCGTGATGGCCATGGGGGGGAGGGCAGGGTCCCCCAGCCGCGGGAGAGTCCCACCCGGGGGACAGCACCGCTGCAGCCGGGCAGGCTCGGACCACGGCCCCTGCGCCCAGCCGGACGGCGATGCGCTGGATAGCGCGGCCGGGACTACGTTTCCCAGCGGCTCCTCCCGGCGCTGCACATGCTCCGTGCGGCTTCCCGGCAGCTCCCGGTGCGGCGCCCGGTGCAGCGCAGGGACGCTCGGAGCGGCTCTGGTGCTGCTTCGGGTGCAGCTCCCGGTGCAGCCCCCGGGAAGGTTCCCGGTGCGGCTCCCGGTGCTGCTCCCGTTGCTGCTCCCGGTGCTGTTCCCGTTGCTGCTCCCGGTGCTGCTCCCGGTGCGGCTCCCGGTGCAGATCTCTCTGCGGGTCCCGGTGCGCTGCGGGCGCAGCAGACCCTCGGGGGTGCCGCGCCGCCGGGCCGGAGCCGAGCTTCCCCCGCCCTGGCAGCATGCCCCGCGGGCGAGCCTGGACGCAAGCGGAGGTCAGCAGCCTGCTGGCGCTGGTGGGGGGCTCGGGGGAGGCCGCCCTGCTCATGGCTTCCACGTCGCGACCCAACGAGGCGCTGTGGAGGGAGATATCCCAAGGGCTGGCAGCGGCCGGGTACTCGCGCAGCGTCGCCCAGTGCCGCTCCAAGTGGAAGGCGCTGAAGCAGGCTTTCCACTCGGAGCGGGAGACGCGCCAGAGGGCAGGACACCACTCAGACCGCCTGCCTCCGCACTACCGAGCCATGAAGAGCATATGGAAGGCGGCCGGGCGGCCCGTGTTCGGGGAGCGCAGGATGCCAGGTGAGTGCCGGGATGGGTAAATGGGTTTGGCAGGGTGGCTGAATGTGGGATACAGGGTTAGCACTGGTACTGCACGGCCACCCGGGGTCTGCTGACGGTCTCTTCCTCTTCCTCTAGAAATGGCGAAGCTGCCCTCTGGGAAGCGCAGGTCAGCCCATGCTGCCTGCTCTTTATCCTCACCAGAGCCACCAGGTACCTGTGGGCTCAGGCAGCCGGCGTGGGGCTTGTCCTGGCTGTGGGGTGTCAGGCACCCCTTGTGTCCTGGTTGTTGAAGCTCTTTTCTGCACCCACTCGCCCTCCTGCAGAGCACAACGTTGACGGGGACACCCCGGGAACGTTGATGTCCCCACTGCTGCGGTGTGTAAAGGACGAGCCAGAGACCCGTAAGTACCGGTCTGCCCCGCTGCACCGGGCTGCACGGCCACGGCTCCAGCCCAAGCCCATGTCAGCATGGTGGGAATGGAGGGCTTGAAGGGCTTAGAGGACTGGGGGTCCCATCACGAGTCCCTCAGCAGGGGTGTTGGGACTTCTCTGTCCAGGGGCTTTGGCTCCAAACCAGTCCCAGAGCATGATGGGTTGGCTGGGACAGGACAGAAGGGGTTCCCCAGCTCTGACCCAGTCTGAGGGCTGCCTCATGGCTTTAGGTCTCTAAAGGATGAGGCCAGGGGGCTCTGGCAGCTGTATAGCACTGCAGGGCATGACACCCCTTCCTCCAGCAGGTCCTGGCTTCCTGCTTCCCTGGTAACACCATAGATCTTCAGATGAGTTAGGGCTGGGTGTGAGGGCCAGAGGTGCTGCAGCTCCCCTGCCCTGCAGCCCACCCAGGGGCAGATCCTGCATCCCTCTCACTGCACATCACAGGGGTTTGGCACAGAGGTGATACAGATTATGTCCCTGGATCTGATTTGTGAGGGCGCCCCAGCCAGCATCCCACACTGGGTAATCGCCTTCTGTCTCCCTAAATTCCCCCTGCAGTTTCAAGTGGATGTGGGATTCTTCTTCACTTCCAGCCCTAGTCTGTTCTGTAGCGTTGCTGCGTGCTGCTATGCCGCTGCTGCCTTCCAGCCCAGAGGTGGCTGCATTGCAGTGGTGGGTGAGTGACTCCTGCTTTTGTATCTAGCTTGTGAAATGCTTTGGGGCCCTGCAGGGCACTGTGGAGCTGTGGCTAAGGCAATTCGGGCTGCGGGGATGACCGGACAGACCCTGGGCTGGTGGTGACCCCCCCCAGCAGGTTCCATCAGACGGCGCATCTCTCCTCTCTGCTCTCTCCCAGCAGTGGATGGGGACCGCGTCGCTGGAGGGCCACCCGCTTCCCACACCATGCCACGTAAGGCTTTCCTTGCCCTGCTCAGTGCAGTAAACCCCCTTGGCCCCGCAAGCAGGGTCTGATACAGTTCTCATTGCAGACGCCCGTCACTGTTTTCCTCCCCTTCCGTTCCTGGGTGAGTACCATGCCCTGGCCACCGTGCTCAGGTGCCCTGGAGCAGGAGGTAGATGCAGCTCACAGTCTGTGTCTGCTCTCCTTTCAGGCTTTCACACTGCCCTGAAGCAGGAGGGAGTTGAGCAAAAGGCTGGTAAGTGTCTGTGCCTTCAAGCAAGTCTCCCTGCCCCATGGAGCGGCTGTGTCCTGCCCATGAGGACAGGGGGCAGGGGCTCCTGCGGGCACTCTGGTTACTTCCTCTGTGCCAAACCGTTGTGGCAGGTTTTCCTGCAGAGACATCCCTGGGGATGGCAAGAGGAAGCCGAGCGCTGCCAGCGGCCACCACAGCCCTGTGCTCCCCGGGTATGGCTGCTGTGAGTGAGCAGCCAGCAGCGGGTGAAGAGGCATCCAGCTCCAGCCTGCACGGTGGGTCCTCCCTGCAGCATCCCAACGGGGGGCTCCCGGAGCTGTGGGGAGGGTTTGCAGCCACTGAGCTTCTCCTCATCACAGGCTCCGGTGTGGCGGGCCTGCTCCAGAACGTGCAGCAGCTCCTGGTGCAGATCCTGCAGACATCCCGGCAACAGCAGGCGCTGCTGGAGAGCCTGGCCAGCGACACCGTCTCTCACCTCCACCTCCTCTCCCACAGCCTGGTGCAAGTGGGGGAGACTCTGCACCAGCTCCTGCTCCGGCCACAAACTCACCCAGGCACCCTCGGCCACTACATGCCCCATGTACCCCTATTCGAGGGCACCAGGGTGCCCTGCTCCCCTGGTGATGCCCACACCTCCCCAGATCACAAAGAGAAGCCTCAGGGGTTCCCTGACACAGGGTGCATCCCACCGTGAGCACCACCATCCGCGTACCCAGGGACGATAGTTCACTCACAGCCACAGATCTTTATAGCAGAGGCACCGGATGTTTTGGAAATTTATAGAAGAGAGACATTTTAATACAATTAAAAATAGGTTTTGTACCAGTGATGACAATCGACCAGTTCTTTCCCCCTCCTCGGGGGATGTTCCCCTTCTCACTTTCGAGATGAGCAGAAGGGAAACTTGGCTATTTACAGCCTCCGAGAAACTCCCAGGCCATGCACCATGACGCAGAGGTACTTTCTTCACCCCTGCCCCACTGTCTGATGTCTTCCTGCTGCAGCTGGGCAGGACTCCAGCCTGAAGAACATGCTCCTGGGGCCGTGGAGGACAGGGGAGACTGCATACAGCACAGGCTGCATGGTGTACGCTAACCTTCTGCAAGGGAAGGGGCCATGATGGGCAATGCTGGGGAGGCAGTGGTGTTGCAGCTGTGGTCTCTTGGTCACCAGGTCCTTGGTGGGTCACATCCAGCGCATGAGCTGGTGCTGTCACAGCCGATACCGTGGAGTTGGCAGCATGTTGTTGTGTGCCCTGTCCTGCTCCCAGGACTCAGGACGTAGATCACTGTCAGCAGTAGTTGCAGACATGGCATGGCACGCTGTGCTTGGCAAAGTGGTCACTGGCTCTTGCACAGGGTGCCCACATCCTCTATGGGATGGGGTGGATGTACTGGCTGCCTGCAGAATCTCTTGGCAATGTCCTAGAAGAGAATGTAGCTGATGGCGCTGGTGTAGGGTGGATAGACATCAGCATGGCAGTCCTGTCACACCACATACCACTTGTTGAGGGGTGACCTGCCCCTTCTCCCAAAAGAGAGACCCCATGTAGAGGCTGGTCCACGCCACATCAAGCCCAGCCAGGAAGGTGGGCAAGCAGTCCCTGTTGTCGTATCTCCTGAGCATGTAGCAGGGCTGGCACTGCTCCGATGCTATGCATCACCTTCAGGGTGAGGTTGCAGATGTCCCCCAACTCCTGCCCTTCCCCACATGTGGCCAAGCCATGGAGAGAGGCCAGCGGCATGGCCAAGAGGGTTCACCAGTGAGGTGGCTGGGTGCTATGACACCAGTGAGGTGTCCTCTGTGCTCCTGAGCATGGAGCAGAAAGCTCTGCCTGCAAGTCTCTTGGTGTTGGGCTGCTGCCCGCAGAGAGGTCTGCCCTGGCTTTCCTCCTTGGGAGACGACCAGGGTGGATGAAAGTAGGAGAAAAGTGGGATCGCCCTTCCTGACCCCGGCTGCTTGCCAGTGAGGTTGCAATTTGAAGGCATCTTTGGGTTGTGGTTGCCCATGCTCCCCACTACCCGGCTGTTCTCCCAGCTACCCAGCTGTGCTCCCATCGTTCCACTAAGCTCCCCACAACCCAGATGTGCTCCCATCATCCCACTGAGCTCCCCATCACCCAGATGTGCTCCATTCATGCTACTGAGCTCCCCATTACCCAGATGTGCTCCCATCATCCCACGGAGCTCCCCACCACCCAGATGTGCTCCCATCATCCCACTGAGCTCCCCATCACCCAGATGTTTTCCCGTCATGCTACTGAGCTCCTCATTACCCAGATGTGCTCCCATCATCCCACTGAGCTCCCCATTACCCAGATGTGCTCCCATCATCCCACGGAGTTCCCCACCACCCAGATGTGCTCCCATCATGCTACTGAGCTCCCCATTACCCAAATGTGCTCCCATCATCCCACGGAGCTCCCCACCACCCAGATGTGCTCCCATCATCCCACGGAGCTCCCCACCACCCAGATGTGCTCCCATCATCCCACTGAGCTCCCCATCACCCAGCTGTGCTCCCATCATCCCACCGAGCTCCTCATCACCGTGCTGTGAGAGCCAGGAAACTGAGTTTGTCTCAAACACTCTTAAACCGAGCTTGCCTCAGACACCATTTACATTCAACCATGGGAGGCCTGCAAGAATTATCATAATCAAAGCAGACAACAGGGATGTTGGTTTCAATTCTGCATAGGCAGGATCATCCCGGTCCCCTTGTCTGAAGCTGATAACCCTCCACAGGGCTGTGAAAAGTGCTGACTCAAAGGATGGGGTCAGATAGCGAACACACTATGAGGGACAGCAGCCACCCAGAACCCCAGCTTTGGAACCGTGCATTCACTAAAGTACATCCATCATTATCACAGTGACGCCTCTCTGCACTTTGCACGCAGTTATGGGTAACACCCCAAAGAACCCGAACAGGCTCAGAGGGTGAGCTCCCACTGCTGCAACACCCTGGGTAATGGCCAGTGAGATGCCCCTGGATCCATGAGTGGCGACTATCTGCTTGCAGCTTCTCTTATCTTATCTCTCTCTCCCCCTCTCCTCTCTCCCTGCATTGATCTCTCCAGGAATAAACACTGGGGTTTGATAAGGAGTTTCAGGGTCAGGCCTCCTTTGTGCCTTCATTCCAATCAGGCGACTCATCTATTGATTCTGGCCAGGTCTGAGTCACGGATGTGTTCCAACCAGGCCAAGACACCATCCTTGCTTCCCTGCCATCCTGCTGTGCTCCGCACTGGAAGCTGCAGCCTTGTCCCTCCATCCCCCATGGGACTCCATGGCACCCATTCCCTGAGCCCTGGGGGTGCTGGGGCCATGGGGCAGGCTGTTTCCCCACACAGAGAGGGGCAGGAGGGGGATCGTGGTGAGGGTGCCCTAGGATGAGGTACAGCAGGAGGCTGACTGCAGGAGTGTGGGGTGCAGAGGGGGTTACAGAGCTTGGGGTGGCATTGGGGGTGCAGTGGGAGACAGCAGCCTGCAGAACCGGGGACCAGGAAGGGTAGGTTGTGTGACAGGGAATGTGGGGTGCAGTGCAGTGTAGTGGGGTGCAATGGATATGCAGTGTGGATGCAATAAGGATGCAGTGGGGTGCAGTGGAGTCCAGCTGGGGTGCAGTGCGCATAGAGTGCTGTGCACAAGGGGTGCAGAATAGTGCAGTGGTTTTCAGTGGGGATGCAATGGGTGCAGAGGAACTGCAGTGGAGTGCAGCTGGGGTGTAGTGGGATTGCAGTGGGGTGCACTGGGGTGAAGTGGGAGTGCAGTGGGGGCTCAGGGGTGTGGAGTGGGTTGAAGTGGGGATGCAGTGGGGATGCAGTATGGGCAAAGTAGGATGCAGTGGGGGTGAAGTAAGTGCTCAGTGGAGGTACAGTGGAATGCAGGGGATGATGTGCGGGTGCAGCAGGGTGTAGTGTGGTGCAGTGGGGATACAGACAGTATGGAATGGGGATGCAATGAGGGTGCAGTGGGTTGCATCAGGGTGCAGTGAGGTTTAGTGGGGTTACAGTGGGGGTGCAGTGGAGGTGCAGTGTGGTGCAGCAGGGTGCAGCGGTGTGTAGTGGGGGTTACAGAGGGGGTGCAAGGGTGGTACAGAGGGAGTAGAGTGAGGTGTAGTGCTGTGCAGTGGGGTGTAGTGGGGTGAAGTAAGGTGCAGTGTGGATGCAGTGGAGGTGCAGTGGGATGCAGCGGGTGACATGGGGTGCAGCAGGGTGCAGTGGGGGTGCAATGGGATGCAGGGGCGATGTGGAGGTACAGTGTGGTGCAGTTGGGTGCAGTAGGGATGAAGTGCGGGTGAAGCGGAGTGCAGTGGGGACTCAGAGGGGCAATTTGGAGGTGCAGTGATGTGCACTGGTGTACAGTGGGGGTGCACTGTGGTGCAGTGGGATGCAGTGGGGTACAGTGTGGTGTAGCATGTAGTCTGGTCCAGTCTGACCCACAGTTGGGGCATCGCCACCCCTTGCACTGCCCCCCCAGAGCACAGTGTCACCTCTCAGTACCAACGGGGTGAGACCAATCGGGAACTGCCCCATAGCCAGAACAGTGGTGTTTGTAGTGGGTGGCTGGGCAGGCAGGGGGTGCTCCTTCAAAGACACCCTCTGGCACTCACACTGCCCCTTCTCTGCCCAAACATGCCCCCAAACACTTGGTCACAGGGGGATGTCAGGGGGCAGTGGGGCACGGTGGGACCCCAGACCCTTTCCAGCAAGCCCCAAGCCCTAGGATGCAGGCACCAAGCGGTTACAGCAAGGGAATTGGGGTTGGCACCAAGTGGGTGCAGTGGGGAAGGGTCTGAGCGAGAACCCCCCCCCCCATTGCTGGGGTATCCATCTGAAATGACCCCTGTGCCTGTTGGGATCCCTCCTGCTCCAGATACAGGAATGTGCCTGTGCTTCAGCGGGAGAGCGACAACCAGAACATGGGGTAAGCCTGGGGAGAGGAAAACAGGCTCCTTTGGGGATATGTAAAGGGTCCAGGGTGGAAATGGAGGTGAAAGCAGCAGATCCCAGCACATTTCAGTGCTGCCAACTGGTGGTCCAGGGAGCGTGAGGGTCCTGCCCTAGGCAGCAAGGATGGGGATGGATACGGCTCCTTACTCCTCCACCCCAGACAACAGCCTGCAACAGGGCAGCCACAGCACATCGAGCAGTCCCCCTGTACCCTGTCAGCCATGCAGACCCCAGGGCAGCTAAAACTGACCCCTGGGGTAGTGTGGGGAGGATTCCTTCCTGGATTTATCCTGCTCTGGAATAAGGCAAAGCTGCACTACTCTTGATCCTCTCCTTCCCACGTGGCCTGCCCAGCCCAGAGCCTACCTATAATGACTATAGGAATTGGAATAATAGAATAGAATTGCCAGTGGAGCTGGCAGTGACCCCCCTGTTCCGAGCCACCGCTGGCACACCATGTCCTGAATGTGATGCTGTGTGCCTCCTGGATCATTGTCCCATCCTGCAAAGCAAGGGCAATAGGAGTGTGATCCCAACAACGGCCCTGAGAGCACCTGTGTCATGGAATCACAGAATGGTTTGGGTACGAAGGGACCTTGATATCACCCAGTTCCAACCCCTTGCCATGGGCAGGGACACCTTCCATAGAGCAGGTTGCTCCAAGCCCTGTCCAGCCTGGCCTTGAACACTGCCAGGGATGGGGCAGCCACAGCTTCCTTGGGCAACCCATTCGAGTGCTCACCACCCTCACAGTAAAGAACTTCCTCCTTATATCCAACCTAAACTTCCCCTGTTTAAGTTTGAACCCACTACCCCTTTTCATACCACTACAGTCCCTAATGAGAAGTCCCTCCCCAGCGTCCCTATAGCCCCCCT